TGAAAACTAGGAAAAACTGGCATCAGCTGCCTCAGGCCCGCTCGCCTCTTCGCGGCAGATGTTAGCGTTTTCCACGTACGTAATCCAAACTGCAGGCACCAGAATAATAAAATCAAACATGTTTTGCCGTCAGGTTTGGATAATCTAAGTTAATTTAGGCGTTAATAAGCTGTTTCAGAGGAGTGATCATAGCGCTCTGCATCAGCAGCGCTGTGTCTGACTCCCTGCCAGCTCCCAGATCAGCTTCTCTAATTGGTTGATGCGGCGCGTCCAGCAGCTAAAGTTACATTATTCCAACTCCAGCAGCTGCTGCTTCTGAAACGCCTCAGATGCTCAGAAGCTCATGAGGCGTTGCTTCAGCTGCTCTAAATGCGCTGCAGGAACTTTTGCTGCGCCTTGATGCGCGTCAACCATTAATTTTGCATGTAAACCAGCTGCTTGCGGTCGTTATGTATCATTACACAGAGCTGCTTTCATTTGTTCTGTTTTAGAAGCCAAATTAAAAAAGAAAAGATATTCAGGACGAAATAAAAACAATAATGAATTAAATAAAGTGTTCACGTGTCGACATTTTGATGTCTTATAGGATTTATTTTATATTTAGAATGTCTTTATTTATTTTAAATGTGCTCCTTTTTTAAGAGAAATACATTGTGTTTTATTAATAGTACTAATGCGGGACGTTAGGCCCCGCCCCTTGCTGTGACTGCTTCTCTAGACCCACCCACTGTCTGCATGATGCTGTTTCCTTTGGTTTGAGGCTCTAATTGATCCTGATCACAGATTTGAGTTGGAATGAAATCCTGAACCTACTGACCCGGTTGTGTAGTCTTCGTTAGTGACTGGTTTAGATGGCGTAAAGTTCTGGTCGTACCGCCATGAGGTCCGCTTTCTAACGGCTGTCTGTGTTGGTCTGCAGGGATCGGCGTCGGTCGTGTCGGGTTCTCCCGCCATCCTCCTCAGCTCCATGACGACGGACGGCGTCTGTGAGCGTGTGCGGCAGACCGAAGGCATCGACCAGAGCATGATCGCGCAGTACACCGCCACCATCAAGAAGGTCAGTGGCGCAGCTTCGTCCGGCTGCAGCAGAACCGACTGCAGATTAACGTTCCTGCTCTGACCTTCCGTCCTCAGGCCAACATCAACGGCAGAGTTCTGTCTCAGTGCAACATCGATGAGCTGAAGAAGGAGATGAATATGAACTTTGGCGACTGGCAGCTGTTCCGAGCCACGGTCAGGACGCGCCGCCGTCCAGCAGGTGTTTTAGAAGCCGGTTCAGCGCCGGGTTTAACCTTTCTTCTTCCTTCTGCCGCAGATTCTGGAAATGCGTCACATTGAGAGTCAGGTGCTGCACGAGGAAACCGCCAGTGAGCAAGGCAGCATGGTGGGGGGTCCCACTGAGGTGGGGAGGCGGGCCATGGCGCCGCCGCACGCCGGAGCCAGCAATGCGGACGGGTCTCCGATGTACAGCTTCAACCTGAGCTTTGAGGAGCTGAGCGGCGTGGGGCTGGATGAGGCGCCGCGGCACGGAAACGTCCAGTGGACGGTAGGGGACGCCTTAGAACCGTCCTGGAGGGTAACATCGGTAGCTTCCTGTTTAACCGTCCTATCACCCTCCGTCCTCAGGGGGGCGCTCACCGGACCGCCAGCATGACCAGCCTGAACTCGCAGGAGTCGTCGAACGACATCGGCAAGCTGACCGACAAGCAGCAGGCCGAGTACCGCAACGCCTACCAGGAGTACATCGCCCAGATGGCCCAGCTGGAGATGAGCGGCATCGGCGAGAAGCCCGTCCAGCCTCAGCCTGGGCAGTTCATGACATCATCAACGGGGGACAAGAACAAGGACGGCGCAGAGCAAGACGCACGCAAGTCCTTCAACAAGAGAGGCGGGGCCAAGCTGGCGGCCGACGCCACTGACTTCAACTCCGGCGGAGATTCGCTCGATCCGATCACCGAGGAGGACGAGAAGACCGGCTCGTCCAAGTCCCTGCTGACCCGTAAGCTGTCCGCCGAGCGCGGCGGATTGTTCCAAGGCGCTAGCGACCTGAAGCTGAAAGCCAGCGGCGGCCTGCGTTACCAGAAGCTGACCAGCGACGACGAGGAGTCCGAGGAGTCCGACAACCCTCTGCTTTCCAAAGACGGAAAGAAGCCACTCGACCCCAAGCTACCCGGCGGCTCGCTGGCGCTGAAGGGGAAGGACTACCTGTCGGACGCCATGTTGGACAAGAAGGACTCGTCCGACTCCGGCGTGCGCTCCAACGAAAGCTCTCCCAACCACTCGCTGCAGGACGAGGAGGCCGACCTGTCTCAGCTGGAGAGGGCTAACCTGATCGAGCTGGACGAGGAGAGCGCCGGCAGGAAGCGCGGCCTCCCCAGCAGCCTGAGCGGCCTTCAGGACCCGGCCGTGGCGCGCATGTCCATCTGCTCCGAGGACCAGTGCAGCCTGCTGGCCAGCAGCCCCGAGGAGAGCTGGACCTCCTCCAGGAGCTACAACCTCAACCGCACGCCCAGCAACGTCACCCTGAACAACAACACCAACGCCCAGCAGGGTGGCCGGCCCCGCCCACCCGCCGAGGGCTCCACCTCCTCCAACCTGACCTCCACCGGCGACGTCATCATCCCGCCGACGACCACCGCCACCAGGCCAGGCCCCAACAACGAGAACGTCCGCGTGGTCCACCTGAAGAGAGGCCTGAAACCCGGAGACCCGCCGGAGATCTGCGCCGTTACCTCCGACACCGTCACCTTCGGCGAGGAGCGCGAGAGCATCCTGTGAGCTCACGGCGAGAACAAAGGAGAGTCGCTGAAGCTCCGCCTCCAGAAAGAAGCTGGAGTCGATCAGTTAGCTGTTGTGGTCGTAGTTGTAGTTGCACGTGTGGAACAGCTGAGGCTTCGTGTTGACGTAAAAAACTCCACTGCATGTTGTCGTGACGTTCGCCTCATCGTAGCGATCCCGTTAGCTTAGCATGTTTATCTCGTCATCAGAGTTTTACCTAAATTTGCTGCTAGTTTAGATTTTATGCGTCTTTGATGTCAGTATTTTAGGCTCTTATCTGGACCAGGTGTCGCCTCCTGGACTTCCTGCTTAAATAAAAATGAAATAAAAAACTAAAGTCGGTGTTAAACATGTGGATGATGGTGCTTCATTCTCAGCTGGTTTTTATTCTGAGGCTCAACAGGATCTTTATGCCCCATTTCCACGAATTCCCTGAAACCGATCCGAGCTCCTTTTACGCATTAGGCTAGCACGGTTCCTCGCCAACGATAATACAACTCTCAAGGAATCACGCAAACTCACACGGTCTAGTTCACAGCGTTCCATTAATACTCAACAGTTACCATGGTGACCGTGCTCAGACCGTTCTCTGGAATAATCAATAGATCATTATTTATACCTAAAACTAATATGTTTGTGGTTATTTAACTTTCTCTTTAATTTTCGTCGCGATCACTGAGTCTGGGAGCGGCCATTTTGGCCCAAATATAGTAGGGGTGTCAACAATAATCGATTCAGCGATGCCTTGCAATGTGGGGCATGCACGATTGAGCATTGATGCGGCAACGTGCCATAATCGATTATGTCACTGTTTATTTTCTGGCCTCAAATGAAAAAGTTGAGAAGTTTCAATTACTTCCGGGGGCATACCAACAACAATCAAGATGGCTGAGGCGGAGGAAGATGACCGCGATAGACGGGTAGGCCTAATTAAAAACGCACCAAAAGCTTGAAAAGCGGATATCTGGGCACATTTCGGATTTTACGAAGTCAATGGGATTTTGATGCATCGCAATGCATCGTAGAATCGAATTGAAGCTAATCGTGAGGGCAGTACCAATGCACACCCCTAAAATATAGTAGCCCCTCCCTCCTGCCATCTTCCAGCA